GGACTTTAAGAAAATGGAATCTTTTGAAATGCCAGAAATCTAACTTCTTGCAGGAGTCCCAACACATAAAATCGTACAGGCAAGAATATACAAAAAGGAAGTGGTGGGAAATTTGGAAGGAAAGAAACTTCACCCTATGTATGCTTCTGGAAAATTTCAAGAGGCAATCTAGATATTTTACCCTGGTGACCTTTTTATTCAGAAGGCGATTCCCACTGAATTAATCTAACACCTACAGTGAGACAGGTGCTACTTTATAGATATTTGCTACTTTAATGCTAACAACATTATGGGATGAAATATCTTATTATACCCATTTTATACATAAGGAAAAGGAGGCACAGAAAGGTTATATAAATTGCTCAAAGCCCCACATTGGTAAGTGGTAGAGGCAAGAGTGGACTTGAAGCAGTCTGGCTTAAAGATGTTTTTCCATCACAATGGCATATAAGGACACTCAATAAAAGGTGAAGACGTCTTTGATGAACAGCAGCAGGCTTATTGTAGTCTTTTTTGTTTGTTTGACAGATGTGAAGAAGATTAAGGATTGAAGTATAAAGAACTATTTGGGATAATCTCTCTTATGCATTTCAAATTCTCCAAAAGAGTCATGCAAGCTTGCTTTTCCCATTTTTTAAAATTTACTCTTAAATAATGCTTCCTACATATCACCCACTGGTCTAGGAAATTCTTAAATATTCATAAGGACTATGATTATCCTTGCTTTTCAGATAAGGAAGTTGAAGTATTTATTGTCTGAGCCCTTGGGCAAGTCACTTACCCACTCTCAACCTCCTCCTTCCAGTTGTAAAACTGGGATGATACTCAATTGGATTTTGATTTCTAATGCTGGACTAAATTTTCTATGTCTAATTTATTAGAAGATGCTTAAAATCACTAAAAATGTATCACCTATGCTTGTCAGTGGGGATGAGAAACAGAATTAGATACAAGAAAATGTATTTTAAAAACAAAATCTCAGAAAAGATTGTATAATTTTTATAGAATAGTGACATACATAACATATAATACAGATATATGCAACATTGTAATAACCTCTAAAATATATATAATACCTACATGATGACTGAAATATTTCACCTCTTTTATCCATTCAAAATGTAAAATCTCACATGTGATAATCACTAACCCAAGGACAAGAGCCCCATACGAACAGCAAAAATTTCACCTTAGTTTCTGGGAAGTCCCACGGGTGATAGCTGGTCCTATACATGAATCTGCCCAGGGGGGTTTATACTCATAGGATTTTCCAATTCACACCAAGTTTATTCTTTTGAATCTACAAGGGTTAGCTTTTATTAGTCATTCCCATGTTGTAGATGACCTTGAAAGAAGAACTCAGAAAGAGCACTGTAATTTCTAGGTGGGCAGGTTTTCCATCTTGATTTCTATGGCCATTCTTTCTTTGTCTCTATAAGCACGGATGACCTGAATTGTGCACTATTAATAAATGTATTTCAACAACTGGTACACCAATCAATAGTTTGGTTTTTAAATATCACATTAGGCATGAACAAAATGCCTAGGAAAGAGTTACAGACGGTTTTACAAAGAAGTGTGGCCATGTCTTAACAATGGTCACACTATAGTCCTACAGTTCCTTTTGAAGAAAGTAATCCTTTAGTGCCTTTTAAAGGTAAAACCTGGCAATAGGAAGGCTTGTTCATTTTTAGATCCATATTTGTTTGGGAATGATGTGAAAACTGCTCAGAAGCCCATCTTTCTGTTCTCACTGTCACCCTTGGGCTAGGTTGTGACAATAGGCCCCTCAGACTTTCCACACTCCAGTTTCCTATGACTGCTATCCATCCAGGGAGGTGCCAGAAGATTTTCCTACAACACTGCTTTTATAATGCTTTTGCCTTGAGTGAAAACGGCCAGTGGTTTCTTAGAATCCATCATATCAAGCCCATAGTCCTTTGATTGGTTTTTGAAACTTTCAGTCAAATCTACCAAATTAAAATATCCCACCTGCTTTTCAAATGCTCTCCAATATGCCTTTCCTTTCCCCTCTATTTGTCCAAAGCAAAACAGTCTTTCCAGCCCTGACTGCAGTCCTACCTTTTCCACTAAGTTTTATAAGCTATCTCTGCAATGTCTTCCAATTAGGAACTCCTCCTGGGTACATGGCCAGTGCAACTGAGGTTAGCCCTTCTCTTGGTCGCTCATTTGCTTTGTGTCTCACTCCAATTTTTGCACACATTCTTATGTTTTTTCTGTAGTTTATAAGCTCCTGAAGGACAGTGACCATGTCTTATCAATCATTTGAGCCTTTTTAAACATTTGGACTGCAGTAAGCATTAGTAAGCATTTAATATATACATGCTGATTATTGGCATTCTAGGCACTTAAGAGCTCAAAATAAGGATTTAAGAAGCTTCTTATTTCTCAAAGGAATTAGTAGACTCCAATAAAATTGCCACTTCCAACCTTATTAGATTTCTATTGTAACTTTATAGTATATCAAACTCTGGCTCCTGGAATCCAGCCAAAGATCCAATGGGATTCTTACAATAAATCTAATCTTCAAATTTACTTTCTCTAAGACCACACTGGCTTAAGAAAATGGGTTGCAAATAGATTACATGTGGCTTCTTTGAATATGAAGTAATTAAAATGTAATCAAGTAAAAATTAGTTCTTCCATCACACTAGCCACATTTAAAGTTCTCAACAGCCACTGACTATTGCTATTGGGTAGTACAGATAATAATAGAAAAGCCGTCACCTACTGGACAGTGCCGAGGCTTATCCAAAGCCGTCACCTACTGGACAGTGCCGAGGCCTATCCAAAGCCGTCACCTACTGGACAGTGCCGAGGCCTACCCAAAGCCTCACCAAGACTAAGCTCACTTGTTGGAGTAGCTTTTTACTTACAGCATAAAATGCTAGGACCAGTGCTGTCAGTAGGCAAAGTAAATGTCCAGCTCAGAATGTGGTTTGGGGGGTATCAAGGCTCCCTGCTCTATGAAAACCCTGCTAGACTCACCTTGCCAAGAACTAGAATGGCAAATTAGAGCTCCATTCCCTTAGTGTAGACAAACATGGCCCCTCTGCCTTATAAAAGTTCCAAGGGAAAATGCCATGTTGAAGGGAAATACCTAAGTCCAGTTTTTGACAGTGGGTTTTGTGGAAGAGCATAAAGTAATTGGGATGAGCAGAAGCTCCTGGTAGGGAAGGAGGAAAGTGGGGGAAGGGCTGAGAAAGTGGTTATGCTGCACGAATGTGACTAGGTCCAGTCCTGAACATGCCATTTGAGGTTGGAGTGACTCCCATGGATGGCAAATCTGGGAAAATCCTAGATGTGTATGTATTTAAGTTGTATAAGCATCTCTTAAAGAGTGAATGGTGTATTTAAAGGATTCTAGGAATGCTAAGAAAGCAAATTATATAAAGGAAAAGGGTTTTGAGACTTACACTATACAATTGAATATCTTATTAACCTTCCTAAGGCTCAACTCCACTCACACTATGAGGTAACACAGAAGACAAAACTGGCTTTTTCTGCACTGTATGTATGCCATCTTCCTTTCTTTCCTAGATAATGTGGGTGCTTATAACGTATGACCCAGATTCCTTATTGACTCATGAATTGCGTCTGAAGGCTTAGCCACGAAGAAGGCTTAACTTTTTAAGGTGACTGCTTTGAAGTACAGCATTAAGCAGATTTACAATTTTAGCATGTTTCTTTAAAAAATCCATTTTCTATTTCACGAAGTCATCATTGATATTTTTAGCATAAATCTATTCAGGTTGAACATAATCTAAAAAACCGGGGCAACAGCATAGACTTTTCTGCCCCTGCTAGTGATGTGAATGAGTTCTCACCTCTTGGGCACCAAAGCTAGCTGCCAGTTCTCAAGAGACTCTGTACTTTATCATGGCATTAGGCTCTGGGATTCATTTCCCCAAAACTACTGTGGGGGTTTCTCTCAATTCTCTTTCCTCCGCCCTTTAAGTTCATGATTAACAGAAAACCCTGCTTGTGAAGTCACTCAAGTTAGAGATACATCCCCAAGTAATTAATAATGATAATATGAAATGCTTTCCTATCAGAAATAACATGTCAGCAAGTTAATCAGTTTGTTCATTGTGAACATGACAGTACCATTCAGTGACTTAAGAAAATGCAATACAGTTGGTTGGACTGTTAAGTGATTGAACAATGGAAACTTGAGTGCTAATTAAAAGTCACTTTTAACCTGGAAGAGAGTTTTATGACATGGCTAAAGCTGGTCATATGCTACTGAAAATATTTTCCATTATTTGAGATACTGACAGAAAAATTAAGTTTTTAAATGACATAAAAATCAGAAGGAGATATTTTATGATAAGTTAGTGTTTCTTAGGATGGGATGCTTGTTAAAAGTACAGATCCCTGAACTCCTGGGAGGGGGCAGGGAATTTAATTTTTACTAGTTTTCTGGGTGATATACATTCCCACAGAATTTGAGAAGTATAGAATATTAGAAGATTCAGTGTCACAACACTCCTAACAGACTGAAATGCTTTAATGAGACACATTTTGATCAACAGAATCATACCTCCAAAGCAAAAATGAAAATTGTTTTCTTGCTTTTCTTTTATGTAAACTTGTGGACTTTGAGAGTGGAGAAACCAAGTTTAATAGCCATTCTTGTTCAGAAGATGGTGCGGCCTTACTTGTGATGAGGAATTCTGAACTGAATGAGGGCTTGGCACTCTTTAAAGTAAACTTCTGTCTGAAATCTAGTAAAACACTTTGACTTTATGAAAGGACATTCAGTGACAAATAATATTTTGTCCTTGGGTTATAAATAGGAGTGATCAAACATGTAATTAATTGATTTTGTCTTGACTTAGATATAAAATGGAAAATTGTTTTAGGATTTTACAGGACTTACGGAGAATATTTTCCAGAGCTAAAAATGTATTACTAGTTTCAGAATGCCATGTTACTACAATGCAAAGCCTCCCACAAATCGGTGAGCAAGTTCTTACCACAGAAATGGAGTTGGTAAGCAGTGTGCCGTCCTGTCCCAGCAGATTGGAGACGGTGATTTCAGGTAGGTCCATGTTTTGCGGATGAAATGGCAGCAGGCCATTATGGTTCATTGGGTGACACAGAGAGTGGTAGCCAGTGTCAACTTCATTCACGTGCACCAGCGGGTGGTCGGGGAGGGAAGGAGGAGTGATAGGTGGGATGTTAAAGTCTTCACTCTCCAGGCTTGGGCCAGGGTAGGACTGAAAGACAACAGTGATATGGTTGCAAATTATCATCCCCTTCTTCAGCATTGTGCACAAACACACATGACCCCTGCAGATATCATTACAAGCAGCATTATGGACTTGGCAAAGACATTTCAAACACTCAGCTTATCCTGCCGCAATTTCACTATTATGCATCGAAGAAAATTGCCTCAAAGGCATAGCCACTTCTCATATAAAGAGTACTTCCATTAGGCAGTTTTATTTTTCCAAGAAGCTGAACTCATACAGATTTCAAAGGTCCCATTAAAATTTTCCAGAGTTTTTAATCTAGCTGAATACCTTTTTCATGGGAATTGTAGGGAAGGAAGGCAATTTATAAAATTAATGTTTAATCAAACATGCTTCATAGGGCTCCCTACTGCTCAGATCATGAGATGTAATAAAATGAATTCCAGGAGTTTTGGGGCAATTACTTTTGGGTTTTGAAAAACTACATGCTCACGAGTGACAGAAGTTAAAATTATTAGTAAAGAAGTAATTTTAAGCATGTTGCATAAGCATGGTTGCGTAGAAAGTTCAATATATGAAAGAGAGCCATTAAAAGCTATTTTTTACCACAAAGATATAATCAGAATAAAAATGAGAATTACTTTCTTGATTTCTGGCTATTCACATTGATTTGATTTTCCTCTAAAAACTGATAAATAATATTGTAGTCATTAAATTCAGTTAGGTTAATTTTGAAAGGCAAAGTAACACTAACATTATTACAATGCTACTTTAGGAATAAAAGTCAATCAGTAAAATAACAACTTGTGTGTTTTTATTTTCTTGTAAAAAGTAGCCTTAGATGAAAGAGGAAGGGAGGAAGCAAGGAAGGAAGGGAAGATTATATGAAGACACATTAGAAACAGAATGTGGTCAATATTAAAAATACAAGGAGGAACTGAATAATAAAACATTGTTACCAATTAGTGTCAAGGCAGAGGTATTCAGCAGTGCCCTATAGACCAGGTGTTGTAATATGCAGGAAACTATTTAGATCCAGATAATTCTTACTAGCCTATCTTTCAAATTAAGTGAGTCTTCAGTGTTTGAGTGTGTGGGTAACAAGGACTTGCTTGTCTAACAGCACAGAACATGCTGAAGTGTGCAAGGTTTGAAATGAGCAGGCAGAGGGTTGGAGCCAAAGAAAGTAGAGTAAGGTATTCTGGGTGTTCAGCCAATAAGCTTCATGCTCCTGCATCCAAGCGCCTGGGGTTATTTTTTCCAGATGGCATCTGTTTGTCTAAGAGAAAGAAAATCTTCAAGTTGCACTTGCTAAATGTTGACAAGTTTTGCTATATTTGTTTAGGTGCTGTCAGGAGACATGATGAAATGAAGAGCTACTCAGAACATCTGGAACTGAGACCTGGTCATGCAGCGGCACATGTAGGCCAGAGATGGGAGCATATGAAGGTAAGATTAATCTCTGCAGATAATTTTCTTAAATACCTAAAGCTCTGCAAAAGAAAAAAAAAACAAAACACCAACTCTAAAAGTTTCATCATCAGTTACCAAATTTTCCTTTTTACAGTAGATATGCCTTGTCTGAAAAATATGTTAGTGTTCAGTGTCAAGATTACCAGTCTGATGAAATTATCACTTGCCTGATATATTTTAGACCATTCTTCTGAGGATCTAACTATTGGTTTCTGGTATAAGTATTCATATAAAAAGAAGCATAAAAGATGTGAAATGGGGAGGTGGGAGTGAGAGGAAACCCATTTGTTAATACTGACTTTATCTAAAGTTCTGTATTGTGTCCTTTGACTATGTTGTCTTCATTTAACCCTTCCAATAATTCTTTGTGTAGCTATTATTGCCCTGTTTTCCTGACAGAAAATTGGGACTCAGAAATTAAATAAGTTTCATTTAGCTGCTAAATAATCAACTCAGTACATATGAGGGATGATATATAAAGGAGGAAGGCATTTTTATTGCACAATACTTACATAAGTAGTGGTGTACTTGTTACTATTTATTAGGTTGTATGATACAAAATTGCCAATACCCATCTATTTCTGATCAATAAAATATCATAATTTAAGAATTAATATTAACACTACTATCTTTTCTCCTTGTAAATTCCATCCCAAAGTCCATTCCACTAAAATCAAGTATTTGCTCTATATGAGAACAAGAATTCATAATTCTTTTGTCAACATTTCAAAGGTTGAACTTGTTTATACATATCTTTTAAGAAGTTAATTAGTGCCTGTTTGTGATTTTCCTGAGTAAGGTACAATTAGTGCCAGCAATAGAGGAGAAAGATGTTTTTAATTTTCAAAATGCCATTAAACCTCTGAAAATACTCAGGGATATTCTGTATACCATAACTTTACATTCTAGAGTTTCCTCAGTAGTTAAATCAATTTGTGGCATTTTAAAGGGAGGTTTAATTGGTATCACTTTACATTCAGTGGTAACTGCATGCAATTCAACTACATGGTTTATTTTCATGTTATTGCACATTAACGTTATTTAATCTTTGCATTTATATACCAAAACCACAGAGTCCACAGCTTAACCAGTAATGGGTGGTTATGTGGATCAAGAATTTTAGCAACAAAAGGTTACTTAGTAGTTTCTGTTCTTCACATCTGAAGTGATGATATGGTTATTTGCCATGAGCCTATTACATAGTGTAATTGATGCCATATAAAAGTATCACAGTAATTGTATAAATGTCAAAATGTCACAGAATTAACAAAACTTCAATGCCAGACTAATTACTAATTTTTTTAAATGTGGAAATGAATTAGCTAATTTCTCAATATTGATTTTTATGACATGACATCTTTATTTTGGTTTTATAAAACCCGAGAACAACTCAATAGTAAGTTATATATTAGAGACAATTTGCAGTTTTGGGGGGAGGAATGTATTACAATAGGACATGATTCACTATTTTCTCTTATTCCCCATGAAGCTGCCTGGTTAGAATCTGTGTTCAATGTTTGTTGAATGAATTCAATGAATTACCAAAAGAATGCATAAATGAGTAAATGGATGCTAAAATGACTCTGAAGGCTCATGAGGTTTGCAAATACACCATTGTTATTCCACGGGCTTGAATAGATATCCTGTATCCCCAAGACTTTGCACTGGCCAGCTGACAGCATGGTATGTAACATTAGTCTCACAGCATGCCAGGAAGCCAAAAATATCCTGTTAGAGATGTAAAGGATCAAGCAGCCTGAGAAAGGCTGGGGCAGGGTAATTTGGTATCCATCTCTGGCTGCTAAATCTGTCCCCCTTGTAGAGACTTTTATTTATCACCCCTAGTGACACAGAGGTTCCAGAGGATTTGTAAGGGTGAGTTTGCAGCCCCTTGGATCTCAGAAGTTGATGGATCCTAACCCCACATCAGCTAAGGACCAGCGGATGCCTTAGTTCCACATGAGGATGCCTTGGGGACAGCAGGTCTGCGGCCTCATGCCTGACCGGCAGTAAGGGCCTTATTAGGCAAGTGGGCATAGAAGGTATGACAGGGTGCTTTGATCACAGAAACAGAGACATGGGTGATGAGAACATGGCTAAGTAATCAGAGAAGGCTTCTGTTACGGCCATCCCAGGGTGACACAGTAGGTCTGCTAGAGTTGTCTACTGGCTCAGCGTCCTTATCTGACCTGTGCTTACTTTCCTCCTTCAAGTGTCAGTGAAGCCAGGAGTTTAAAGGATCTTTCATTCTCTTGCTCTCTTGGGACCAAAGAGCATTTGGTCCTTCCCAAGACCCTTGCATATATCCCCATAAGACACGGGGTTACATTTTTGTTTTTGTTTTTTCAGCCTGAGTTAGAGACCATCAAGGAGTAATCCCATGATTTATGGGCAGGGTTCCAGTGTAGAATTCTAGACAAAAATAGGTACGGACTTTCCAGGTGGTATCATCGTCCTTATTACCCTTTAGAGTGCCTACGACCCCCCTAGCCTAGAGATCAGAATCTAGCCTAGAGATAAGTCTGAGCCAACCAGCATCCCTCCACCCCAAGGAATGAGAAAGGGCAATGGTGACCACCTACACAAATGGAGAGAAAGTACTTAGGGATAGTGGTATGAAATTCAAGTCAATAGTTGTGATTTTATGTGGATCTGCACCAAGTTAATGAAAGGTAAACTGGAAACAAAGAAGCATGCTGAGTGATTTGCTCTAAATCACAGTCAGTCTGCATGACCTAAAGGATTTAAAGAACTCAAAATTACATTATTGCTACTTGCCCAGATTCTCCCTGATCTTCAGCTACTCACTGGTCCCAGACACAAGAGAGTTTCATCTCATCATATTGCTGGTGCTGGGATATGCCATAGGACAGCTCTGCCCTAGAGTGAGAAGCTCTGTGCATCTCTGTGTGTCCAGGGAGCAGATACCATGAGTCATGGAGTGTGGGTTAGACTCGGCTGTGCAATTATGAGGCTTGGCAAATTCTGGAATATATATGAACTTTTCAAGGCCACAAGGGAATTGTAGGAAGCACTGAAGTAGTAATTTCAAAATATTATCATCCTCAGAATATTTTTACAATTCTAAATAATAGATTTAGTGACTATTTCAAGTCATTTTCTTAAAACCTTACCATTGGTATTTGCATTTATAGCTTATAAAGTGTTACATCTTTGTCTGGTGAGGAGGAGGTAAGTTTTGGACTGGTTGAGAGTCCTCATAATGATTCTTTCAATGACAGGTAAGAAGGGCCAAGTGCGTGTTGGAAAGAATTGAGGCTCTGGAATCCAGTAGACGGGGATTGTGTTCAGGTTCTTTGAAGCATTTATTAGTGTGGGTTCTGGGGCAAGTGTCTTACTCCTTGTGAGCCTCAGTTTCGAAACCTGCTTCATGAGGTTCCTATGAGCATTGAAAACAAAAATAAAAGATAGGTAAAAAGCCTAAAAATATCTGTGTGCCACACAGAAAGTTCTTGCTAAATGGCAGCTTTAGCATAGCTGTGGTTGTTGTTAAATAGGTTTATATATGTCATGGGTTGGGCCATGCCCAA